CCCCCCCCCGCCCGGCCCGGCCCCTCTTCGCGCCCATAGGGACTTCCTTCAGGCCATGCGCCATTCGCCGGAGCTGCAGGCCAAAATCCAGGCCCCGCCGCCGCGGCTGCGCCCGGCCATCTTCGGCCGTCTGCCGGTGCCGGCCCGGGTGCTGGACCTGACGCCCTTCCATCGGACCTTGATGGATCTGGAGGCGGCCACCATTGTCGCCTGGCAGGGGGCCTTCTCCCGGGGCTACATGGACTGGCTTCTGGACCGGTCTGGGTCTGGGAGTCGCTCGGTGTCGGACGCCTCCTCGGCCGAGGACGAGGCCTCCGGCGCCCCGGCACCGGACCTCGAGTACGATGGGATCAAGGCCGTGTCCGCCGGCCGGGCCTGGGACGTGGGTGATGGCCTCCTGCTTGCGCTGCGCCTGTGGGTCGAGCGTCTTCAGGTATGCGCGCACGTGTGGCCCCTTCAGCGGGCCGACCATTTCTTGTAGGCGGACAGGGAAACAAGATCAGGCAGCTTGATCAACAGGGCGGTCTTGTGCAGCCGGCAACAGCAGTGTGTGTGTGTGAGAGAGAGAGAGAGACAGAGAGACAGCGAGATATTTTGACAAAGAGAGACAGCAGGACAAAGAGAGACAGAGAGGAACATACCCCCTCCGCCCCCCGGCATGTGCTCTAACCTGGCCCGGACAGCTTCTCAACATCAACGATTGCTGGCGCGTGTCCAGCGAGTCACTCATTGCCCTGGCCGAGGGTGGCATGACACGCAACCTGGTGGGGCTGGACTTGTCCAATTGCAAGAGCGTGCGTCCGCTTCCGGTGCCTTGTGCCGGGCCTCTCCACAGCGCAGGGAGAGGCATCCCAACAAGCGCGCCCAAGAGGCCACTCTCATGCACGCACGCACCCACCCACGCACGCACGCACTGCCTGCCATGTGCCCACCCCGCTCGAGGACGGAGGGCCCCCGAGCGGGGAGGGGACATGCCCGCCGATGACCGGCACCCCAAGACCCCCTTCCCATGGCCCTGACACATTCTGAACCCCCCACTCCCCCGCCGCCGCCGCCGCCGCCGCTGCCGCTGGAAGATCAACGACGCGGCCATCATGACCCTGGCGCGGTACACCCCCCACCTGAAGGACCTGCGCCTGGCTTACTGCAAGCAAATCACCGGGGCCACCGTGGGGGCCTTGTTCCACGACCCCAGCACCCGGCCCCCGGGCCAGCCGGCCCCGCCGGATCTGGAATTCTTCGTCCTCCAGCGGTGCACCGCCATCGCCTCGCTGCCAAATGCCCTGGGCGTGGCGCGCAAGATGCGCGGCGTGGTGCTGGCCGAGTGCGGGTACTTCGGCGATGGGGCCCTCGAGTCGCTGGCCATCGGCGCCTATGGCGGTGTCCTGCGATACGTCAGCGTCGCCTTCTGCTGCTCGCTCACGCCGCTGGGCATCAAGATCCTGGTGGATGCTTGTCCGCTGGTGCGTGTCGGCCCCCGGAAATGGGGGGGGATGTGCCCCTCATCCGACCTACCAACACCTCATGCTACCGCCCCCCCCCCCCCCCGCGCCGCGCCCCCAACCTCGGGGGGGTGGCTTGTGTGCCTCACAAAGAAAAAAATCCCATCGGGGACCCTCCCCCCATATCGACACTGACACGCCTCCCTGTGCCGGCGATCCCCCCCACCCCCCCCCCCCCCCCAACCATGCCACAGATCGATGAGCTCGATATGGCCTTCTGCGGTCTAGCTGCCACCGACGAGCTGCTGGCCGAGAGCCTCGCCTCGCTGGAGCACCTTCGCGCGCTGAGCATCCGGTGCGTGGTCACTCCGCCCCCTCGGCGCAGTCCCCTCGAGGAGAAGGCCCATCGCCGTGCCCAATTCTCTCTTGGACGCCCAAGAGCGGCCTCGACCATGCGTCCCACGGCTGGCTGCTCGCCTGCCTGACTGTTTCACTGACTCGCCGACCGGCTGACCCACTGACGGCCCCACCACAGCGGCTGTGTGCAGGTGACGAATCGCGGCGTGGCAGCACTGGTGAGCGCCTGGCGCGCGCGCCAGCTGACCGCCCCCGGAGGAGAACGCACAGCCACCACCTTCCGGCTGAATGTCAGCGCTTGCCCGGGCGTCTCGGTCATCGAAGCGGCCCTGGCCCCGGAGAATGGGGAGATGATGCTGGACCGGGAGCGTCCTGGTTTGGCCCAAGCGATTGGACGCTACTCAACGGTGTCCTCCTCCTGGCGCCTGGTCGACGAAAGCCACTACTGGCCGATGGGGAGCAAGTGCGAGCGCAATCCCCATCTGGCTGCCACCGGTCGCGCGCCGGTCCATGAATCTTCCCTGCGAGACATGCGCGAGCAGATGATACGGCTGTCGGATGAGGCCCGTCGGGCTGCCCTGCACCAGGCCCCCTCGGTGGGCCAGGCGCGCGGCACGGCCGCCGCCGCCACTCCGCCCACAGCTAGCCACCTTTCCTCGATGCAGGAGGAGGAGGAGGGGCATGACTCGGCCACGGGGGCCGACACCGTGGCCCCCGGAGATGCTGTCGACGCTGCCAACACCTCCGCCAGCAGCAGCAGCAGCAGCAGCGGCGGCGGCGGCGGCGGCGGTGACAGCAGCGACCTCGACCAGCGCTCCGGCCGGCTTCCGGAGGGACACTCTGCCGCCGCCTCGCCCGGGGCCTTGCCCATGTCCAACCACGCCCGCCAGGCAGCCGCCCTGCCGAAGGCCGACGACCCGACCGGGCGGCACGCTACCACCGCCAGCAAGGAGTTCACCACCGACGACGACGAGGAGGAGGAGGAGGAGGAGGAGGACTTTGTCGAGTACCAGGGCAAGGAGCGCATCCTGGCAGCGGGGCGCCCGGCGTCCGATGGGCATCTGCCCCGGCAGCAAGGCGCCACCTCCCCCCGGCGGAAGGACTACGCCTTCCAAGCCTTCCAGCCTCCCCCGGACAATGTCAGCTACTTCGGCGATGTGAAGATCTTCACCGGGCCGCCGCCGCCGCCGCCGCCGCCGCCGGGGCCGGCGGTCAGCCCCGCCGCCCCAGCTCCCAGCACCGAGGCCTGCCAGCCGGCGGCGGCCCAGTTGGCCGCCCCGCTGCCGCTGCCGCCGCCGCCGCCGCTAATGCCCGCCCAGCCGGCTCAGCGCCTGGAAATCCCGGTGGCCCCGCGAGACCCGGAATTGGCCGCGCGCTTCGACTCCTCCAAGTTCTATCTCCGCCTGCCGGAGGAAACCCTCATCCTGCCGGCCGAGTGGAAGCTCCTCGGGGCCCAGGACCAGCTGGTGCCCTGGACCAGCCAATTCCCCCTGTACCCGGTACCCGGGGTGCCAGTGCTGAAGGTGGCCCAGGTGGAACGCACAGCCGAGGGCCCGGCATCCAGCACGACGTCGCCCACATCCTCGCTGCCGGCCGCGACTCCGGGCCCGATGCCGGCTTCCCCGGGCGCTGCCATCCTCCCGGTGGCCGAGGAGCCGGCCCTGGCCGGCAAGCTGACCGACGTGCCGGTGGCAAATGAGCGCCTCCGGGCCGGGCCCTGGGCCTCGGCCATCCCCGCCGACGATGGCGGCCCGCGGGTGGTCGCCGCGGCCGCCGCGGCCGCCATGCCCGCCGCCGGGCATACCGACCGCGGGCAGCAAACCGATGGCAGACTGCCGGGAACCGGGGCCCAGCCCGCCCCCCACCGGGCCTACAACCACCCAGGCCACCAGGAGGGGGGCCGCCAGCAGCAGCAGCAGCAGCAGCGTCAGCAGCACAACCCCCAGCCCATGAACCATCAGCAAGCACACACTACCCAGCAGGACTCCCGGTCCCGGACCGGCGGCTCGTCGTACAATCGCGCCCGCCGGCCCGGCCGGGGGTCGGTATGAGTGCCACGCGCGCGGGGGGGGCCGGCCGGCACCACACGCCGGCCCCCCCCGCTGGCGGCGGAGGAACGTGCAGCAGTGGCGACAGCGACTTCGAGGATGCCCTGGAGCAGCACCCGTCGGCCTCGGTGTCTTTGTCTTCGCTGTCGCCACCGCCCTCGTCGCGGCCGCCGCAGGCCGGCCTGCCGACAACCGTGGCAAGTGCCGCGGGCTTGCGACTGGACCGCTTTGCGCATGAGACCATCGAAACGCCCGGAGCCCCGGGGCCCGGGGCGTTGATCCGACGGGGCCCCCGGGCCGGGAGCCCGGCCGCCCAGGCAGCCGCCCGCTATGACCGGCGTCTGACCACCGGCTACTGGCGGTACACTCGCCCGGAGTATGAGCGCGATCGGCTTCGATGGACCTTCGCCCGCGAGGAGGAGGGCGCCCAGGCAGCCGGCGGCATGGCGCCCGACGAGCCGGACGACGACCGGCCGGCCGACGAGGCCCGGCCCGGCCAGCGCCGGCAGCAGGTGCTCTGCTCGAGCCTGCACTGGGCCGGCCCAAGCACCCTGGCCCAGGCCCAGTGGCAAACCCAAGTGACGGACTCCGGGACGGCCCAGTGCGCCTTCCAGCTGGAGCTCTTCGAGTGGGACTTTGCTCGGGGGGTCCCCGGGCCCGGGCGCCATGTGCACCGGGTACAAACCGTGCATTTGGGGCTCGGCACCGAGGAGGGCGTCCCGGCGCCGCTTTTGCCGCCGGCCCGCTCGCCGTGGGATGAGAAGCCGCGCTGGCCCCAGCTTGACCGGCCGCCCGGCTTGGGGCCCGCCCTGGCCCTGGACCCGGGCGAGTCGGTGTGGCTGGCCGGAGGGGCGTGGCCGGCCGGGGCGTCGGCGTGTGCGCCCCCCGGCACCGGGGTCGACGCGCCTTGGCTGCTTCTCCCCCGGGGCCGGCATGCCGGTGCCTGGGAGGAGGGGCCGCGGGGGGAGCAGGAGCCCCGGGAGCAGGAGCCGCGGCCCCAGGGGGGTGGTGGTGGCGATGGTGGCGGCCATGGCTCGGCGGCCATCCGGGGCAGGCATCACACCAATGATGGAGAGCAGGATGCCGGCGATGCTGCTGCTGCTGCGGCTGCTGCTGATGATGATGATGATAATGAAGAGGAAGATGACCTGCTGACCGACTGGAGCTTGACGTCGCTCGATGGAGGTAGCCCATCCGGCGAGTGGCTCCTGTCGGAGGAGATCGACGAGTGGCCCGACAATGACCAGCCCGGCACCGAGTGGCCCTCGCTGCCTCCCTCGCCCACCTCGCCCGCCTCGCCCACCGGGCCGGGAGATGCCCCGCCCCAGGGGGGGCTGGCCGCGGGGGAGGCAAGTCCGAAGCCGGCCGTCGAGTCGACGGAGGAGGCGCAGGCGGTCCCGCCGCCAGGACCGGCGGAGGAGGCCCTCACACCGGGGGACCGCCCAGAGCCGGGCCTGGCCCGGGCCCTGTCGGCTCCTCGCACCGGCCTGCGACCCCCACCGCAGCAGCAGCAGCAGCAGCAACAACAACAAAAGAGTCTGACGCGCATCGATCGGCGCTGGCGCCGGCCCCGGACCCCGCCCCCGGACCGGCCGTCAAATCGGGCCAGTGGTCGCCGGGGCGGGGCCCCCCCGCACACGGTGGTCCGCATGCGCATCTTGTCGGAGCTGCGTGTGGTCATGCCGACCCCGGAGGCCGCGGCCGCCGGGAGCCAGCCCACCGTCCAGCAGGCGGCCTTCACCACGTCGATGGTCCTGCGCGCGCGGGACATGGCCGCCGCAGATCGGGCCCGTACTGCGGCCGACGCCTTCGATCGGGTGTTCTACTGCCCGGGACCCGGGGGCGCCGCCGCCGCCACGGGCCCGACCGAGGGGCCGGCTGAGGAGCAGCCAGACGCGGCGGGCGAGAAGCAGCCCGGGGCCACCATCTTTTGGAGGCCGGCCGCCAGAGGCGCGCTTCCGAAGCCGCCAGACCATCACCAGGGGCGGCAGGCGGCCGACCCGACGGCCAGGCCGGGGGGCGGCCCCCTTGCAGGGAGTTCCGCCATGGCGCTCCGGCCCATGCTGGCCAAAGGGTCCGAAGTGGGCCTCCGGCCCGGGCCGCCGTCCATGCGCACGGAGCACATTGTGTCCCGGACGCGGATGCGCCGGGACGGCCGGACCGCGGTCCTGCGCGTGTACACCCATGTGCTGCTTGCCCTGTACGATGACGAGGGGCTTGGTGGATGAACCGCAGCAAGCCCGGCAGGGCGAGTGAGTGTGAGGGGAGCGGTGGCGGCGGAGGGAAAGGAGGAAGGCGCTACTGCACATGCATCCACGCATGCGTGTGTTTGTGTGTGTGTGTGTGTGTGTGTGTCCCCCACAGGGCCCGGGGGCAGGAAGGCTGGCGGCGCAGAGGGGGGGGGGGGGGGAGAGGTGCACACCAAAAGAGCCCTCAATGGCGTGAGAGGGAGAGCCCCGGCGGTGACACACGCCCCCCTCGGCCAGCTACGAAGAGCCCCCGGCCCTCTCCGGCGCAGCTCCTGTACACGACCCGGGCCTCCCCTGAGGGGGAACAGCCCTGCGCTCTCCGGGCATAGGTGGCCGCCTTGGGACAACCTGCTGGCGTATGTGTGCCACGCAGGGATGCTCCAGGGGAAAGGGCGCACACGTATGTCGCGCACAAATGTAACCATGTATTGTAAGCAAGCGCCCGGGGGGGTGTCCCCGCGAGAGGGCATGGTCGTGTGTGTGTGTGTGTGTGTGTGTCTCCCGCGATTGTGCGCGGACATGGGACCGAAGGCCGCCATGGGGATGGCCACGGGGAGGGGGCGGGGCGGGGGGGCGACGAGACGCCATGGGCACGCCAACGCACGTCCTCGGGCGCGCCCGGGGCGCAATTGGGTTAAGGTGTTAATTGCCCGGCGGTTCTGCACTCGCAGAGGGGCTCACGTGGGGGCGCCTCCAATCCGTCGCCGGCGAGATGTGTCCGCGTGCCTGGGGCCCCGGTCGTTCCATCGCCGCCACCAACGCGACATCACCGCCGCATCACCGGCGGCCGGCAGACGAGCGGGTCGTGCAGTGGCGCGCCTCCAGACCCGGGAGCACACCCTGCAGCCGCCGCCCTCGTGCGCGTGTACGCTCCGTTCCGCTCCCCCCCCCCCAGGGGGACTACCGACGGGGCCCCCGAAAAGGGGGGGGACACCTATCCGGCCGGCTGGGCGCGCCGCAGGGGCCAGGTTGCGCGGGGTGCAGGAGGCCAGCTGAGCAGCCGGTGCGAAAACTGGTCTCGAGTGCCATGAGAAAAAAGGCCATTTTTCGCCGGGCGGACCCCGGCCATGTACCCCTGCTGGGGGCCAATAAACAATGTGGCTTCGCCCGCCGCTCCGCGACTGGGTGTGCCCCCCTGCGGCCTGTTCGTCCGCGCGCCGTGCGGGCGCCCGGTGGGGGGAGGGGGGGGCGCCGGCGACGCGCCGCGAGCGGTCTCCCGCCCGCTAGCGTGCGCTCCTGCGCCGGGCGGCCGCCTCAGTCTCGCGCCGGCGCCCGTGCTCGTGGTGCGGGTGCCGTATCCGGGAGGCGGTTGGCTGTGGAGCCAACGCGGTAGCCCGATGCCCATCGGGCGGGGCGGGCGGCCTGGCATGCGGCGCGTGCGCATGCCTTTCACCGGCACGGGCGGCCCGGTACACCCCCCCCCCCCCCCCCGCCCCCGCCGCCGCCGCAGCCTCCATGCTCGGCTCGGGCCCTGACTGGCGAGCGGCCAGGACACACCCCGGGGGAGGGTGGGCCGGGGAAGCGGGAGAAAGACCAATAATGAGGCATATAAATTAATCCCCTAGAATATGGCCCAACAGTGGACCAAAAGAAAAGCTGGCTCAGCCTGGCGCACATTCGGGGCGGCCTCTCGGCTGGGGTGCCCTGGGTGCCCTCGGCAGAGTCGCCGGCGGCGCCGGTTCCCGCCGCCGCGCCGCCCCCCGGCCGTGGGTGTGCCTCGCGGGCACCGTGCTATTTCCATCGTTCCGCCGCCGCGCCGGGCGCCTGCGCGTCCCTCCCACGCCGGCGCTGCGTGTCCGGCCTGTGGGTTCCTCTGGTGCTCTTCGGGCCGGCGGCGCGGCCGGGGGCCGGCGTCATTTTAGTCGCACCGGCGCCAGCGGCGGCGAGTCGGCGCCCCAACGCCTGGGGACCCCTTCCTGGAAGTGCTTGGACAAATGAGACATCTCATCTCCGGGGCCCCTGTCCGTGTCTGTGTCTTCGGTGCGAGTCGCCCGGACCATTCGTTGTCGGAAGAGAGAGGCTCCCCCCGGCCGGGGGGGGGGGGCGGTGGGCGCATGTCCCGTCCTCCCGGCCCTCGGCGTTTCCCGGGCATCTTCTCCATTGGGCGTCGGGCTCTTCGCCGGGCCTGGCGTGCGCGCCCTGCGACGGCCCACCGCGTCGTAGGGCGCCGGCCGCATGGCGGCATTTGTAGCGAGATGTACGAGCGTGCAGGGGCCGGCCCGACCTGCGCGTCCCCGCGCATCCCCCCCCCCCGCCCCCCGGCCGGGCCTCTGGTCGGATCTGCCCGTGCATTGGGGTTCGCCCCCGGGCGGCCTTGGGCGCTGCTGTGCGTGCGCCCGCCCCCCTCGCGGCCGCCGGCCGGGCCCGGTGCCGGAGGGAAGTCCGCCCGGGCGGGCGCCCACGGTTGTCTCGGCGTTCTGCGAATCGCTCCAGTTCGGGGGCCCCCGAAAGATCGCCCGTCCGCCGGGGGCCGGCCGCGCGGGCATGGCCGACTCCGCGCTGGCGTGCGCGGGCAGCCGGGCCGACCATGGGGGTCCGTGTCTTCCGGGGCCAGATGGCTCGGTGGTCGACCGGGCGCGCGCACGGGGGGGGGGGGCCAGCGCGCGGGGCCTGTCGGGTCGAGACCGAGGACAGCGGGCAGAAGACCCGGCGGCGGGGGAGGCCGTCGGGTCGAGGCCGCCCGGCGCGGGGGAGCTGGCAAGCATTGGCCACGCCCGGGGGGAGGGGGGGGGGGGGCGGCGGCGGCTGGGGCGTGCGCCGGTTCCGTCCCCTGTGGTCGCCTGCCCCTCGCCGACCGTCCGCCAAGAGGGGCGGGGGAAAAGGCGGGGTCACACGCCATAGTCCTCTACATTCCCCCCTCCCCTTGCTGCCCCACTTTCGCCCCGGCCGTCCTGCGCCGGTGGCATTGCACGAGGGCGACGAGCGGGCCCCCTGCGCCGGGCTCGTGTTTTCCAGTCCCCCCCCCCCCCCCCCCCCCGTTCGGCCGCCGCGC